GAGTAGCTGGGATTACAGGCTCATGCCACCACGCATGGGGTGGAAGGCGTCAGGAGGAAGGGGCTGCATTTCTGCATCTGGGAAAGAACTGCATCTGGCTGGGAGTCAGCCAAGAAATGGGTCAGAATGTTCTGTGGACCAGATGTGTGCCTTGGGGAGAGGGGTGCTGACAAGGGCAGGGAGAATGAGGAGAGTCCGACAGAGAGGGGAGGTGGCCAGGGAGAAGCATCCAGGGCATGTGGCCAGCTAATGGGGAGGCATCCCCCTCCACCCGAGGAGCAAAGGCCTATAAGGCCCAGCTGGGGGCCCCAAGAACCCAGAGAAGCTCCTACAATAAAAAGGCAGCTTCAAACATTTGCTCAACCTCAAGAACCAGGCCGGCACCACCAAGTGCAAATGTCCCTGCCCTGTCCTGTTCCCCTTCCATCCTTCCACCCACCGCCAGCCCTGGAGTCGTCCAAATCTGTTGGCCTCAGGGGCAGGAGAAGTCTGTTCATCATCTAACAGAGAGCGAAAGTCACAAGGCATGCGGAGATTTTATCAGACCGAGATCAACTTCCCCTGCGAAGCGACCTTTACAGCCGTGACTTTCAGGGGAGGAGTAATTTTTATAGGTGACAAAGCAAAATCTGCATCTGGCTTATAACCCATGCATGGTGTGATTTTCCAGCTGCAGCTGCCTCCGGATTTTCCCTCTTCCAAGCTGGAGCCTTGGTATCTGGCAAAGCCCCGGTGGTTTTCTTCTCAAAGCTATCGTCCCTTCTGCTATCTGGTTTGTGGAGTTGCTTGCAGAGGGCGTTGTAACCCCACACCTGCACAGTGTCACCTGTTTTCTAGCGCACCTCTGAGATCCAGGGGGTGCTGCGGGCAGGTCCTGGATGGGCTGGAGACTCTGCCATTCTCATCACATTTCTGCCTGCTGATCTCATCAGGGCCCTCAAGGACTCTCTGTTCCTTACAGATTAAATGCAAATGGGTGCTGTGGCCACCTCCCCTGGCTGGTGCCAGCCAGTCTGTCCTCCCATCAGCATCATTGCAAATACTTCTGAGATAGACCAGAGATGGGACTTGGTCCCCTGCCCTGCCTCATCGAGGACTCTACTTCAAGCTGGTTGGGGAGAGTGGCCCACAGCAGGCACAGACCCCCGTCAGATCATCCAGAGGTTGCACCGTAAATCTTGCTCAAGGTACCTTGCCCACTGATTGCAGACCTTGAGGAAAGGAAAATAAACAGCTCCCACCTTAAATCTTACTCAAGGGAGTTAACCCTATAGCCTGCATGCACCAAAGACTAGAAAAATGACCAATCTTTACCCTTTGCTTCCTTATAATACTAAAAATCATGCCCAGGGCAGAGCTTTAACATGCTAATGAGATATACCACACATCAAGAAGCATGTGACCAGACTGCACAGGCGCTGAACATTCCCCACCTCCACATGCTTAAATGTCACCCTTTTCCCACCCCACCTCCTTTCAGAATGCCAGGCGCGGTGGCTCACGCTTGTAATCCCAGCACTTTGGGAAGTTGAGGCAGGCAGATCATGTGAGGTCAGGAGTTCAAGACCACCCTGGCCAACTTGGTCAAACCCCATATCCACTAAAACTAAAATAATTAGTCAGGCATGGTAGTACATGCCTGTAGTCTCAGCTACTAGGGAGGCTGAGGCAGGAGAATCTCTTGAACCTGGGAGGTGAAGGTTGCAGTGAGCTGAGATCAAGCCACTGCACTCCAGCCTGGGTGACAGAGAGAGACTCCATTTCAAAAAAAAAGACAGGCTGGGCGCAAGGGCTCACGCCTGTAATCCCAGCACTTTGGGAGGCCAAGGCGGGTGGATCACCTGAGGTTGGGAGTTCGAGACCAGCCTGGCCAACATGATGAAACCCCTCTCTACTAAAAATACAAAAAAAATTATCTGGGCATGGTGGTGCACGTCTGTAATCCCAGCTGCTTGGGAGGCTGAGGCATGAGAATTGCTTGAACCCAGGAGGCGGAAGTTGCAGCGAGTCAGGATTGCGCCACTGACTACACTCCAGCCTGGGAGACAGAGCAAGACGCCGTCTCCAAAAAAAAAAAAGAACGCCTTCCGGGCTCTCTGCAGAGTCAACCCCTGAACCTCCTCTCCAGTGCTGCCTCCTTTATGTTTGAACACAGCCTCGTCCGTGAGCGTTTCAGTACATCAGAGCCTAAGACCCTGCGGTCGGCAACACTTCCTCTCTCCATCCCCGTCTCTGCCATTCTGGTTTTTACCTCTTTCCCCCAGGGCATCACCTGCAGTTCCCCAAACCACACTCTGCTCTAGAGATGTTTGAGGAAATCTGAATATGCCTGGTCTCTTACAGGGGCCCTAAATGGGGGTGATTTTCCCCCCCAGGGGACATTTGGCAATGTCTGACATTTTTATCATCATGACTTGGGGTGCTGGTGCTACTAGCATCTAGTGAACAAAAGCCAGGGATGCTGCCAAAACTCCTTCAGTACCAGCCCCCAACTGTAACAAGGAATGATCCAGCCCCAAATGTCAGAAGTGCCAAAGTTCAGAACCGATAACTCGATGATGGCAGATTACACCTGGCTGTTCCTTATCTTGTGACCCAGGCAGGGTGCTGTGAGCTACATCTATGTCCAGGACACACTGGAAAACTGGCTGGCAGGACCCTGGGCACCAAGTCAGAAAGGGAAGAGGAGGGGCATCAGAAGGCGAGCCACTAACCCCATGTACCTTCAACTGGAATAGCCAAGCGGTAAATCCCAAATGGCTCTCCAAAGCTCACTTGCTCGTGGGAGAAGGTTGCATTGAGTCCTGCCACCTCAAAGGTCAGCTCTTCTGGGGTGCCCTGAGCCACTGAGATGTTGACCAATAGGTCCTGTCCAAGTTCCAAATGGTCAGAAGCCCAGGAGGCCTGCAGCCCTGACAGCAGCTCCACCAAGTGGACTGTGACGTTCCCGGAGAGTGCGGAGGAGGTGGTGCTGCTGGTGGCTTGGATCTCCAGGCGGTGCCTCCCAGGGCCCATCAGTTTCTGGGTTTCTGTGTCCAGGGTCAGATTGTATGGTAGCGAGCCCCTTTGGGCGGTGGACTTGGCCAGGGTTATGTCACCCGAAAGCACAGTGTAAGTCACTCCTGTTCCTAGGTGGGGTAAGAAAAATTTAAGAATGTTGGTAACAACCACGCAGTTGATAATACTATGGCAGCTCAGACTCAGTCTCTGAAGCCTGATTCTGATATAGACATGGATACAGACACAGATACAAAGCAATATGTAAGGATGTGCCCCTTTCTTCAAATATTAATGGGGATTATCCCTGAGTATTAGGTTAATAACTGATTTTGTCTTTTTTTTTTTTTTTTTAAGACAGAGTCTGGCACCATTGCCTGGGCTGAAGTGCAGTGGTGCGATCTTGGCTTACTGCAACCTCTGCTTCCTGGGTTCAAGCGATTCTCCTGCCTCAGCTTCTCGAGTAGCTAGGATTACAGGCACCTGCCACCACACTCAGCTAATTTTTTACATTTTTAGTAGAGATGGGATTTCACCATGTTGCCAGGATGGTCTCAAACTCCTGACCTCGTGATTTGCCCACCTCAGACTCCCAAAGTGCCAGGATTACAGGCGTGAGCCACCGCGCCCGGCCGTGATTTTGTCATTTGGGGGTCCTCTCTGTTCATCTGCATATTCTAACTTATTTATACTACGCGTGTCTCACCTGAGAACCTAAATATTTGTAATTTAAAAATTACCACATTTAGTTGCCAGAGATGTCCTGGTCGGGGGAGGAGGAGGACTAAAAGGGAGCATCTCTTAAGAGTGGGGGCTAATTTTTAAACATAAGAATTAGCTTTGGGTCTTGTTTTAAGCAGGAGCAAGCGAAGCCATTCCTTCAACCTACACTGGTAACTGCCTGGAACCCTGCACACCAACATGAGAACTCAGCCCATTCACGGCAAGATGGGGGCTCCCTTGCAGTTTGCAGATGGTTGTTCTACTGAATGCTAAATATTGTGGTTGACTCTTAAAATCTGACTTAAATCAACAAATGAGGATTCTTTCCAGTGAAAACCAAGCTAGCATAGTTCTTGCCTGGATGATGATGATGATGATGATGATGATGATGACTACGACGTAAGCCCTATGAGAATGGGAACCCTGACTTTCATATTTACTGCTGCCTCCCCTACACCCGGCAAAGTAGGCACTCAATTATATTAGTAGGATGAGTAAATAAATGAAAGATTATTTTGTTTCCTCAGGTGCACATATGAGCCCTCTTCATCCAATAAGCACACAAGAACTGATGGGGTTTCCTGAGCGCTGTGTTAAAGCCCCATTTTGGCTTCCATAGCTATTGCTATGAGAGGGCTCCAGGTGGGATGTGAGGTCAAACTGAGCCACGTGCTCACTGCACTAGCTCTGTGCTGCCCTGTTTACATCAACAGGCCTCTATTCTGATCTCAAATTGGGCCTGGGCTTCAGGAAAAACGCTGCCCTGGGTGAGGATGAGTCTTAGCCAGGAGGGTCTCTATTGATAGAAGGGGTGATAATTTAAAATATTCAACAACCAGCACTGCATGGGCACCAACCAATTAAAATGGATGCTCTGATAAATCAGAATAGACACTGCGACCAACAAATAGATGCCATGACCAATCAGAATAGACACTGTGACCAATCAGAATGGACACCCTGACCAATCAAAATAGACATGACAACCAATCACAGCAGTCCCTGTGACCAATCAGAAAACACAGGTCGAGCGCCGTGGCTCATGCCTGTAATTCCAGCACTTTGGGAGGCCAAGGCAGGTGGATCATGAGGTCAGGAGTTCCAGACCAGCCTGGCCAATATGGTGAAACGCTGTCTCTACTAAAATACAAAAATTAGCTCGGTGTGGTGGTGGGTGCCTGTAATCCCAGCTACTAGGGAGACTGAGGCAGAACAATCGCTTGAATCCGGGAGGCGGAGGTTGCATTGAGCTAAGATCATGCCACTGCACTCCAGCCTGGGACACAGCAAGACTCCATCTCAAAACAAAAACCAAACAAACAAAACAAAAACCAAACAACAACAACAACAACCACTGTGGCCAGGCGCAGTGGCTCACGCCTGCAATCCCAACATTTTGGGAGGCAGATGCGGGTAACTTAACTGAGGTCAGGAGTTCGAGACCAGCCTGGCCAATATGGCAAAATCCCATCTCTACTAAAATACAAAAAAAATACACAGACACACAAAAATAACCAGGCATGGTGGCACACACCTGTAGTCCCAGCTACCCAGGAGGCTGAGTCACTTGAACTTGGGTGGTGGAAGTTGCAGTGAGCCGAGATCGCACCACTGCACTCCAGCCTGGATGACAGAGCACGACTCCATCTCAAAAAAAAAAAAAAAAAAAAAGAATAGACACTGTGACCAATCAGAATGGACATGACAATCAATTAGAGCAGTCTCTGTGACCAATCAAAAAACACACTGTGATCAGTCAGAATGGACCCCAGTCATAACAGCTGGCATGGCTATACCAGTGGGGCAGCTGAATACTGGCCTTGGCCAGGGGCAACTTGATTGTGTGCCAAGCTAGTCGATGCTGGCTACACTGAGATGGGCTCAGGCCCAGTTGGTAGCAGTCCCAGTGCCACCTCATCCTAATCAAATTCCCAACAGGAAGTGACTTGGAAGTTTGGTTCTACAGGGATGCAAAAAAGGGCCTTTGGAAGGCTGGGAGAGCTCACTAGCTTACTAGCCTTCCGACTCTGGGCAAATGTTTTAATCTTTCTGTGTCTTCATTTCTTCATCTGTAAAATGAAGATAATACTAGTATGTAATGAGTAGGCAAGTTTATGCAAAGCACTGAGAACAGTGCCTGGCACACACTAGGTGCTAAATAAATGAATAAACGATAGTTTAAAAATGAACTCGGCCAGGCATAGTGGTTCATGCCTATAATCCCAGCACCTTGGGAGGCCAAGGCAGGTGGATCATGTGAGGTCAGGAGTTTGAGATCAGCCTGACCAACATGGTGAAACCCCGTCTCTAGCAAATACAAAAAATTAGCCAGGTGTGGTGGCGCATGCTTGTAATCCCAGCTACTTGGGAGGCTGAGGCAGGGGAATCACTTGAACCCAGGAGGTGGAGGTTGCAGTGAGCTGAGATTGCGCCATTGCACTCCACCTGGGCAATAAGAGCAAAACTCCTCAAAAAAAAGAACTCAGTAGGTGATCCTTGTTACTCTTTAATTTTTTTTAAACAGGGTCTCACTCTGATGTCCTGGCTGGCGTGCAGTGGCATGATCTCAGCTCACTGCAGCCTCGACCTCCCGGATTCAAACATCCTCCCACCTGAGCCACCCAAGTAGCTGGGACTACAGTCATGTGCGACCAAACCTGACTAATTTTTGTACTTTTTATAGAAATGGGATCTCACCCTGTTGCCCAGGCTGGTTCGGAACTTCTGGGCTCAAGCAGTTCGCCCGCCTCAGCCTCCCAAAGTGTTGGAATTAAAGGCTTGAGCCACTGCACCTGGCCCACTACTTATTAAGGCCTGGGAGTTGGACAGATTTGGAAGAAATCAGTGATTTTATAACTTGCCTTGATGTGCCCAGTTCTGCAGACTCACCTCCATCAAGCTCCACCTGAATCCACAGAGGATCCCCAAAGGCAGCCTGGCAGAGGAGGCTGGCTCCAGACTGGGACAGGCCGGAGCATGCAGTCACACTGAGCCTCTCCATCTTGTCTCGCACGGTCACTTGCCTCTGGGCTGTCACATGCCACTCACTGGTTGTGCATTCAGCAAACACGGTGAATTCCCCAGGAGATGTGAACTGGTGGGTCACATTGCTGGACACGCTGCCAGCCACAGTCAGGGACGTGACCAGCGTTGGGGAAACACAAAGACACGCATTTACACATGCACTGACAGGGTTTAGATCTGTGCTCCTGCCCAAATCTCACGTTGAATTGTAATCTCCAGTGTTGGAGGTGGGGCCTGGTGGAAGGTGATTGGCTCATAGGGGCGTTTTCTCATGAATGGCTTGGCACCATCCCCCTGGTGCTGCTCTCTTGGTAGTGAGTGGGTCCTCACAAGATCTGGTTGTTTAAAAGTGCATGGCTGGCCGGGCGTGGTGGCTCACGCCTGTAATCCCAGCACTTTAGGAGGCTGAGGAGGGTAGATCGCTTGAGGTCAGCAGTTTCAGACCAGCCTGGCCAACACGGCGAAACTCCATCTCTATTAAAAACACAAGGCGTGGTGGTGCACACCTGTAATCCCAGGTACTAGGGAGGCTGAGGCAGGAGGATTGCTTGAACCCAGAAGGTGGAGGTTGCAGTGAGCTGAGATCGCACCACTGCATTCCAGCCTGGGTGACAGAGTAAGACCCTGTCTCAAAAAGAAAAAAAAAAAAAAATCCAGTGAGTACTTGAGTAATGGTAACAACTTAGACCATGTAGTTCCTGACCTGAAAACCCTCCTATTATCCTCTGTAGTGGGTGCTGTCGGGAATCCTCCAGATTCCACCCTTCAAGCCTGAGGCATGCAGCCCCCAGTACACCTGTGAGCTGTGGCTGAGGGCTCACAGCTGAATCCATGTACAGGAGTCCCTTTTAGCCAAAGGGAGCTGCCTCGCTCAAGCCTACCTCCCATCCCACGGACATCCTGCAACCAACGAGTACTCAATGCCGATTATAATGGTCTGGCTCTCTGGCCTCAATTGGAAACAACTCTGAGGGCCATGCCAGCTCAGAGGTTTCTGCAGGATCGGCAAGGCCTCTGTGGCCCCTGTATCCCAGTTCAACTCTCCTCTTGCCCATCTTACTACTCCGTTCCGGTGCTCCACATCAGAGTCTATTTCCTGGTTCCTGTGAGACAAAGTAGCAAACTCAAGGAGACACGTGTGCTCATTTCTGTTTGCCAGCATCATCACAGGAAGCTCCTGACTTTGCAGTGACAGGCAGCCCTCCAGAACACTTTGAGGACAAAACAGAATAGAGTGCTCTGCTTCCACGTCTCTAGCCTGAGTCACTATATCCCTAAAAAGATAAATGACTGGTCCTTTTCTTACATATAAGATATTGTCTGGCCGGGCGGAGTGGCTCATGCCACTGCACTCCAGCCTGGGTGACAGAGTGAAACTCTGTCTCAAAACAAAAACAAAAACAAAAAGGTAATGTCTGAGATGGCTAGTGATTATGCTTCTGCAATCTACAATCTACAGTTTCTTTTTTTTCTTTGTTTCTTTTTTTTTTTTTTAGACAGTCTTTCTCTGTTGCCTAGGCTGGAGAACAGTGAAACGATCTGGGCTCACTGCAACCACCGCCTCCCAGGTTCAAGCGATTCTCCTCCATCAGCCTCCTGCATAGCTGGGAATACAGGCATGCACCACCACGTCCAGCTAATTTTTTTTTTTTTTTTATAGTAGAAATGGGGTTTCACCATGTTGACTGGGCTGGTCTTGAACTCCTGACCCCAAGTGATCCACTCATCTTGGCCTCCCAAAGTGCTGGGATTACAGGCATGAGCCACTGAAGCCAGTCAACAAGATATACTTTAGTCATCTAGAGGCAGATGTACTCTTGCACCCAAACTTTGACTTGATTTTATGTGGGCTGAACCTCCACAACCCATATAGAAGTCGTGAACTGAAACACTGTTTTGGAGCAGTCTGGCAGAACCTCTTTGAAAGACTCCTCCTAGGCTGCAGTCCTCAGACTATGGTCCTCAGTAAGACTTCTGAATAAAACTAACTTTATTTATAAAGCTTGATTTTTCTTTAGTTTTCTTTAGTTGACAGACCCCACCTACATTAGACTGTCTAGCATCAACAGCTCTTAAGGACCCGGCTCCTGCTGAGTTTTTCAGCATCTTTCATTTTTCCACAGAGCCCTGAACTCCAGGCATGGCGAGGTGCTTGCAGTTATTTGAATATGCCACACGCTTTCGGGTCCGTGCTACTCTCTCTTCTCTAGATCCATTGCTCCTGCCTTATCATTCTGGCTCCCCCAGAGAGGACTTTAGCTCTAGGTCATTCTAAGGCTTGTGTTGTTTTGTGGATTATTGGTTTCCCACAAATCTCTGCACTCCCAACATCAGCTGTGTGCAGAAGCGGCCGATTAATAATGGAAGAACAATGTCAATCCCTACATTTGCCAGTAGGTGGCGCTTAGCTAACCAACGCTGGATTCGCACAGATTTCACCACATGCAAATTGTTCTGTAAGGCCTATAATACAATTTCAGAGATGTGGAAAATTTTCCATGACAAACAGAGAAACAAAAAAGCCCTCCATGCAAACGAATATAAGGCAAGGTGAAAAGGAGCTTCTAACAGAGAAGTCTTCTGACTTCTATACAATGCAATTCTTCCCAGAAGCTCTTATTATTTATCTACAATGGATACAAATGGTTTGATTTTAAAATCTCACCTCTTAGACTACTGAGGAGTTAAGAAAAAGTAGGAGGCCGTACTAACACATAAGAGAAAAGCACAGTGATATTTACACCAAAAAATGGGGCTTCTGTATATTCAAAAATCAAAATTCGTGCTATTTTCCATATCATAAACTGAGTTCTGTGGCTGCTAGTATTGATAAGAAGGCGTCAGACAGGCATTTCCCAGTGTTTATAAAAATGATTTTTAAAAGGTGGGTGATGACCAGGCGCAGTGGGTCATGCCTGTAATCCCAGCACTTTGAAAAGCCAAGGTGCATATCACTTGAGGTCAGGAGTTCAAGATCAGCCTGGACAACATGGCAAAATCCCGTCTCTACTAAAAATACAAAAATTAGCTGGGCGTGGTGGTATGTGCCTGTTGTCCTAGCTACTTGGGAGGCTGAGGCAGGAGAATCGCTTGAACCTGGGAGGCAGAGGTTGCAGTGAGCCGAGATCATGCCACTGCACTCCAGTCTGGGTGACAGAGCGAGACTCCGCCCACCTCCCCCCCAAAAAAAGTGGGTGGGTAGTTTCAAGGTCTGATTGATCTTTAATGTAAAGGAAAATGGACTATTTTGGTGGGGCAGTGGTGGAGGGGGTGCCACCATCTTTGAAGAGAAAAAAAATGCCAGTGATTCTTGCTTAGAGTTAATGCCCAGAGAGATTGCAAATGTAAAACAGTGCTCATTGTGTTTTAGATTTTAATCGCACAAAAACTTCCAGAGAGTAATACAACAACCATCCATGGATTCTCCATCCAGACTTAACGAACTTTCACATTTGGTCCCATTTGCTTCTGTTCTAAGCCACTATTTATCACTGAAAAGTCCTATGTAGCTGTGAGTCATAGTGGGGCTGCATGTAGGCAATTTTGACTTATGCTAAATTCAAGTTGTACAAGATTTAGGGACTGAAAGACTGTATAACTTACAGTCTGTTGTTTTCTTTATAAACTCGTAGCAATCAGAAAGAAACCCACAGAACAATGGCATAGGTATTTGTATCACCCAGACATTTGCCCCCAAAGCATCACTGTGTATGGTTTCTCATTTGACACCACAAAACATTCAAGGCAGCCACGAACATAAATGTGACAGGGGGCTGGGTGCGGTGGCTCACACCTGTACTACCAGCACTTTGGGAGGCCAAGGCAGGTAGATCACCTGTGGTTAGAGGTTCGAGACCAACCTAGCCAACATGGTGAAAACCCTGTCCCTACTAAAACTACAAATATTAGCCAGGCATGGTGGCACATGCTTGTAGTTCTAGCTACTTGGGAGGCTGAGGCAGGAGAATCGCTTGAACCCGGGAGGTGGAGGTTGCAGTGAGCCGATATTGA